GAGGTGTGGCTGTGCGCGAAGGTACTGTAGTGATTTATGGTCTGTCCGTACTGTCACGTCCGCGCAAGTCAAGTAACAGCGCCATACTTTGAACGCGTGCACGATCGCAAGTATTTCGCGGTCGTGTATCGGGTAATTTTTTTCGGGCGGATGCAGTTTTTGTGACTCGTATGCGATGGGCTGTAGGCCATTGCCGAAATCCTGTAGCAGTACGGCTCCGATGGCGATATTGCTTGCGTCGGTAACTACTTCGAATGGGCGGTGTGGGTCGGCGATGCGCAGGACGGGCGGTGAACAGAGAACATTTTTCAGGGCAGAGAAGGCAGCATGCTCTTTCTCCCCCCACGTAAAAGCGACCCCCTTCCGCAGTAAATCCGTCAGTGGGGCAGTTAACCGTGCCATATCGGGGACGAACCGACGCACATAATTAACGAACCCTAAAAAGCTCTGCAGCTCCGTGATGTTCGTCGGGGGATGCCACGCTGTTACCGTATCCAGCTTCTTTGGGTCGATTTCAACTCCAGCCTCCGAAATAACGTGCCCCAAAAATTCTAACCTATCCTGGAAGAACTCGCACTTGGAACCCTTGGTCAGTAATCTGTGCTCGTCTAAAACCTTAAACACTGCTTCCAGATCTGCTAAGTGCTGCTGATTATCCCGAATGTAAACTAGGATGTCGTCGAGGTAAACTATTACGCATTTATCTAAGAGCGGCCTAAATGCCTCGTTCATGGTCATCTGAAAAGTCGCCGGTGCGTTGGTCAGCCCGAATGGCATCACAGTGTACTCGAACGACCCGTACCTAGTCATGAAAGTTGTTTTGGCGCAGTCCGATGGTTCGACCCTAATCTGATGGTAACCTCCCCGTAAATCTATTTTCGAAAAAACCCGTGCTGTTCGCAGTTGGTCGATCAGTTCGTCGGCGCGGGGAATGGGGTACCGCGACTTGACTGTTACCCTGTTCAGTGCTCTGTAGTCGATACACATGCGAAAACCCCCGTCTTTTTTCGGCGTGAACAGTATCGGTGCGGCGAACGGTGACGAGCTCGGTCGGATGAATTTCTTCTCTAACAGGTAATCTAACTGCTTCCTTAGTTCGTCGAGCTCGGGCTGTGTCAGTTTGAACTGGCGCCGTACGGTTGGCTGTGCCCCCGGTTCTAATTCGATTCAGTGGTCATGTGCTCGCTGAGGTGGCAGTCCTTCCGGTAAGTCGTCGGGGAAAATCCCGGGGTATCGTTTCAACAGTTCCTGTAATTCGGGCGGTACGGCTGCCAGCAGTTTCTTGAAATCACTCGGCTGCTCTGCTTCCTCTACTACTGCGATGTCTACTGCGTACACGTCAGCTCCAGCAGCGACAGCCCGTTTCATTGTGATGGCGTTGACGTGTACCGTTGAAGACTCGGGCGACTGCCAGCGAGGTAGCTCGACCCAGTTACCACTACTTCGCACGGTGCAGCTACCCGTCGTCCAGTCAATTCGCGGGTTATACCGTCGCAGCCAATCACGTCCCAGTAAAATATCGTGCCCATCCAGTGTCGTTGCGAGCATTTCCTGTGTAAACCCGAAATTTCCCCCGCAGCGGACTTTGACTCTCTCTACCTTTTCCCGTATGGCCAGTGGCGTGCCGTCGACTAAGCGTGCGTCTATCTCCGGTAAGCAACGGCTAAGTGTCAGCTGCAGTTTTCGTGCGGTTGCGGTATTAACTAAACTGTGGCTTGCTCCTCCGTCGATAAAAAATCTTCACTGCTGCTCCCTGTATTTTCCCGTGGATCAGTACTGGGCAATCCGTCTCTGTACCCTCCTTATTCGTCCGAGTCCGATCGATAGCATGAATCGGTACTGTAACTCGGTGAGGGTCGGTGGGGTTGGGCGAGCAGGCAGTCTCGTCAGTAGTTGGCACGATTCCTACTGACTGCTGGCGTTTCCCTGCCTTGGAGACTCCCTCCCCTGCTCTGCTCCGCAGCGCCTTAGCTCCTCTGGGCATTCGCTCTTGCGATGGCCCGGCCTGTTGCAAGCAAAGCAGCGCCCCTTAAACGGCGCGGCAGCTGCATTCGTCGCAACAGCGTGTACAGTGGCGTGCTCGATCGGTCCCCGAGGACGATGTCCATAGTAGGACCCCGGTCTCGGACGGCGTAAAATGTCGATTTTCTCGGCGAGCGCGAGAATCTCGTTGAAGTTCGAGAGCCCGCGTAGCATGATTTCGTGCGAGATGTCCGGCTTCAGCCCTCCGACGTAACGGTCCACCCGCTCCGCTTCGTGCATGTAGCCGACTTGCTCGCATAATGCGAGAAAACCACTCGTATAGTCTTGAACCGATCCGAGCTGCCGCCAAGTGCGCAATCTCTGACGCGCCGAAATAGAAGCCGCGATCGGCTCGAAGCGCACCCGAAGCCCTGCGCACCACGCATCCCACGTGCTGTATTGGGCGGTCTCGCAGAATGAACTCCAGGTGACAGCTGGGCCCGTGGGCCCTTCCTCTTGCGACGGTGGCTCGTAGGCGCGTGGCGACGTCACGATGACTCGCCACCAGTCCATGGCGGGGCCCCTTAGCAGCGAAACGGCATACCCAATCTTCACTGCGTCTGACTCGACGTAATTCGCGTCGAAGAAGACGTCCATCGTGAAGACCCACGATTGAACCGTCGGACCTCCACGCTGGCTCGGGTCGAAGCAGGGCGGGCGTTGCGGCTTGAGTGGCATTGGTGCCATAATGGCCTGTTCGCCACTTGTCGCCGCGAACTCCACGTGCCGACGGGCTTCGCGAGGCTCCCGCGGGCTTGGTGCGACCCTGTTTCCTCCCATGCCTGGCATCGGCTGGGCGGCGCCATCGCTGGCTGCGCCTGAGCGCTGTCCCACGCTGTTGTTTTGTGTTGGTGTGCCGGACGAGATGACGATCGGCTCGTCCGATTGTGCAGATGCATTTGTCGGTGCGTGTGGTGGCGCTGGAGTGTTCATCGTTGATTGCTGACGCGCGGAGTCACGTTCCGCCGTGAGCGTCGCAATTTCGAGCGCCGAATCTTCAAGTTGGCGCACCAGACGGTCGAGCTGCTCCTGCGTCAATGTGGCGAGTGTGAATTCGGCCATGGCGGGGGTGTCGGGCGAGCTCAGCGAGAGCCTCGGTCGTGGCCGTGCGTGCTTACGAGAGAGCACTACGAGCGGCGGTGCTGTGTCGCTGAGAGTCGTCTACCCCCCCCAAAAATTGAGATAGTGGGGAAGCGAAGGTGTGGGTGCGGTCCGAGAAGAGATCGTAGGCTCTGAATACCAAGTGTTACGAGTGCAATTGAGTGAACGAACGAGAATTGCACTATCGGAGCAAGAGTACAATGAGCGAAGGCATGAGCGAAGAATATATAGCGAAACTACAGTGGTAACGGTAATGGACTGTGGTTGTCGCGTGACGGGTCTGAGACTGAGGTTGGGAAGAGTGTTGAAGCGGAGGCCCGGAGCGCGGGTTACCCGCCGAGCCGTGAGGTCGGGTGCGGCGTGCGAAGGTGGCGGGCGGATTGTCGATGCGAGGGTTGCGAGTGGTAATGGTGCTGACTGTTGTGCTACAGTTATGTACGCGTTGAGCAGGGATGCGAAGTAAGGAAAAGGAATTTTCCTTACACATAACGTTATGGGTTTGCTGGAACGATTCAAACTAGTTTTTGCAGCTGTTGTAACACACCGCCGTGCTACGTCACAACCCAATTGTGCTCATGGGCCATGGCCAATGCCAGCAGGGCTCCACATGCCAAATAGCGGCGTGGCTCGGCTGATGTTGACCTGAAGCGGCTCGTCGAGCCCTTGCCACACTCGAGGAGTTGCGGGACACTATGAAGATTGTGTCATTACGTATCGGCCACATTGTGCCACTGGTTGTACAGGAAGGTAACACATTGGAGTTCATTTCAACGATTCATTCGCGCAATCCAGTCTGACAGACAATGCATCTACCGTTCAAACCAAGCGAGGACATCTGGGTGCGGGATCCAACGGCGGATATTGAAGGCCTTGGAAAGTTTCAGGAGGAGGGAGGGAAGAGGGACAAGAAACAATGGCGTACGATTAAGCCGTACGATTTGTGCTAGAGAGTGCCGTACGATTCGCGGATCTCATGCTAGCGATCATGTGACTCGTCAACCCCTCTGCATCTGCACTCTCTCGTCTCCATTCTCTCTTCAATGGAGTCCATGCTTCGTTTCGAGTCGCGCGCGCTCCCCCAGACACCCTCTCCCCCGTCACCACCCTCTGTTTCCCACATGCGACACGATTTCCGACTCGCGATAGCAAAGCTCCATCCAGATTCCTTCCAGCCCCTATTCTCCAACTCCTCGCACACGACGAACTATCCTGCCCCATCCCTAGTTCCGGATTCCTATCCAACCAAGCAAGCACACACAGATTCACAGACGCCCCAACTCCAACACCCTACCGCCGCCATCAAGCTTGATTGTTCTCGCGCCCCAGAGTTGAACTAAGCTCTTTCTTCCGTCTCGCGTTCGCCAATTTAATAACGTTCAAGCTAAGCTGTTTCCGCTCTCCTTGTCTTCCGCCAAAGGACGCCATCAAGTGCTGGGTTTTTAGTAGCTACTGTGGATAACTGCTTATTCGTGAAATTAACCATATTTTTAGCGACGGCTGGATTTGCTCTTTCCAGCAACAAGTAGCAGTTTACAAGTCGAGGAAAGTTTCGGAGGATGAGGATTGGACGGAAACAAGTATTTATCCCCACGACTTCGCAATGGAAAGCAGGTCGCCTCTTGTACTAGCTCGAAAGGAAACGCCAGGCGATCAATCACCCCTAGTTGTGATATTAGCGTGCTCCCGGGCTCGGATCGAGCGATCCCCACAGCCCTCATGTGCTGTTGCTGCCCGCATTCCACGCCACTTATTAGCACCAGAACTACCACTACCACTCGTAATACTAGTAACAGCTGCACTCAGGGGACGGGCTATCCAATTAGCACGGAACCGTTAGTAGTAATAGTGGTAGTCTTCGTACTAGGTCTCACACTATCATGGGCGGCGCGAGGCCGACGAAGAAACAGACGTTCATCAACAAGCTTCGCACGCCGCTGCAGATCGTGCTCACGTTCGTCGTCGGCCTGCTCATGCCGTTCGGATTCTACCTCGTGTGCGACGCGGGTCTCGGCATCGACATCGCGCCGTACTGCTACATCGCGGTCGTCGTCATGCTCGTTCTCACGGCCACCATCGTGTACATCGAGTGCTTTCTCGCGCTCTTTCTCGCGAAAGACCCGCCCGACGAGCCCGCCGCGCCGTACCCGCCCGCGTCGGCCATTATCGCGGCGTATTTGCCCAACGAGGCGGACACGATTCTGGAGACTATCGAGGCGTTTCTTCAGATCGAGTATCCAGGACCATTGCAGGTGAGCCACGTGGCAGCCTTTGCCAAGCGCAGTAAGTTGCCATATCATTACTGTATCATTGGGAGGGAGGAGCATATAGCAGAGCCGGAAATGAGGCTGACTATTGACGTTCGGAACGTCATTTCTTATTCCAGATTACTACTAACTGAGACGGTTGAACCCCCCCTTTTCCTTTCGCCCCTTCTCTCCGCCTATTTAGTGAGTAAGTTCGGCTATATTTGCACTGACTGCTAGCTTCTGCACACGTGTTCGCAAAGTTCAGTCTCTTCGTCTCACTTTGTGTCGCTCGAATGCCCCATCCTTTTCCAGAAGGAAAACACACATCTTAAACAGCACTCTTGTCCCGAGAGAGGATAGAATTTAGGAACCATCCTTTTCGGGGGAAAACGAGGGGAAGGGAAAAGGGAGCGTCGTTTTCGTACTTGTGAAGCCTATGCTTGGACGATGACCCGCTGATAGCACATCTCCACCCGCAGCAAGCATCACTAGCACTGATTTGAGTTTCAAATATGCATCTACATTAAGGCATACCGGTACCACACGTCTTGCTCGGATAGAGCTTGACGTGTTGTTGTAAAGAAAGTCCTTTCTCCTCCCTCTTCAAACACCCCTTTATCCAGCTCCGCCCCTCCATGGCACCGAAACAGCCCCCTCTCCCGACATACTTCTTACTCCCTCTCAAACCTCAACTCTCCAAACTCCACGCTCATTTCTCACCCACACCCTTGCCGTTTTCCAGTTGCTCCAACGCAAGGCTTCCTCCGAGGTCCTTTGCTGGTCTTACAACGCACCGTAATCGGTGCCACACCTCCCATTTCTACAGCTTGTCCCCCTTGCACACTCCCCTTCCACGCTCCTCTCCGTTCCAATAGCCACCATTTTCACCTCGTCTACCATCCTTCCTTGCCCAGGTATCGAGGTGACTTTTGAGTCGACACAAAAGTCATCTCTCCATTCCCACAGCCACCATTCTCACCTCTTCTACCTTCCCTCCTTGCCCAGGTATTCCTGGGTACAACACGACACGACATGGCAACGATAGAAACAACCTCCGCCCCATTCACACACATCTCCCCATATCCACGCTTCTTCAGTTTTCCACATCCCTGACCATCCCCACCCCCCTCGCATCCTCACTCCCCATTCCCATATTCGTCCCCGTTTCCACACCCATCCCCATTCTCATTCTCCTCCCCATTCTCACACCCTCCCAATTCTCACCTTCTTTCCACCCTAACCCCCACCCTCCGCAAAATCATTCTGGTGCACAAACGCTGAGGATGGGGGTTAGGGTGACATTACCGTGAAGAAGCCACTCTCTGTCCCTACCCCCACACTCCTTATTCACCTTCCCACCCTTACCACATTAACGCCCTTTCCGCCCCCCTTCCCCTTCCCCTTCCCCTTCCCTCTGCCCCTCCGCCTCCCCCGCCCCCTCCTTCAGAAGGTCAGCCTGGTGCACGACATGCTGAGCAGCCAGCGACATGCCTCAAATCGAACCACCTAGCCACGTGTAGAGAGGGTATTTTTGAGACTTCTCAAAAATACCCTCTCTATACACGACACGCTGAGCAGCCAGCGACATGCCTGAAATCGAACCACCTAGCAATTTCCCATTCCTTCTTTCTTTCCCTTCTCCCAGACTCCTAGCAATCTCCTATTCCTCTCTTCACCCCCTCCCTATCTCGCTCCCCCTCCCTCTCCCCTTCCCCCTCTCCTCGTTCCCCCCTCCAGTTCCCCCGAGGTCATTAGGACGCGCACCACGCCGCGCGACATGTCCGAAATCGAACCACTCTCTGTCCTACTCCCACACTCCCCGCTTCCGCCCCCTCCCCCTCCCCCTCCCCCTCCTCTTTCCCCTTCCCCCGTCCCCCGAAGGTCATCCTGTCGTACAACAAGCCGCGCGACATGCCCGAGATGGAGGCTACTCTCCGTCCTCCTCTTCTTCCCCTTCCCAGTCCCCCACCCCTTCCCCCTCCCCTTCCCCACCCCTTCCCCCTTCCCTTCCCCTCCCCACGCCCTCCGCCTCCCCCGAAGGTCATCCTGGCGTACAACACGCCGCGCGACATGCCCGAGATGGAGACCATTCTCGCGGAAATGGCGCGACAACGCCCGGACCGCTTCCTGGCGTACCGCGTCGTGCACTCGCGCTCCAAGGCCGAGAACGTGAACGCGGCGACGAAGCTCATCCGCGGCGAGTTCGTCGGCGTGTTCGACGCGGACCATTGCCCGAACCCGGATTCCTTCATGCGCGCGTGGCGCTGGCTCAGCCACGGCTACGACATCGTGCAAGGACACTGCCTCGTGCGCAACGGGGAGGATAACTGGGTCGCGCAGGCGGTCGCCGTGGAATTCGAGACGATCTACGCCGTCGGTCATCCGGGATCGGAGATAATACACGGGTTCGGATTCTTCGGCGGATCAAACGGGTTCTGGCGATCAGGGTTGCTAGCGCAAATCGGAATGGATGGGTCTATGCTCACGGAAGACATAGACTCGTCTATCCGCGTGCTTCTCGCGGGCGGGAGGATCAAATCCGATCCAGGATTGATGTCTTCCGAGCTCGCGACGACGACGCTGCGGCAGATCTGGAACCAGAGATTGCGGTGGGCGCAAGGGTGGTTCCAGGTGTCCATGCGCCATTTCTTCTCCGCCATGGCTTGCCGGAATCTGTCCGCCTTCCAACGGTTAGGGTTGTTTCACCTGTTCATCTGGCGGGAGATCTACCCGTGGATCTCGATGCAGATCCTGCCGTTGCTGGCGTTTATCTGCTACAAAGCGAACGGATTCGGCGGGATAAACTGGCTGGACGCGGTGTACATGTGCACGACGATCTTTACGTTCCTGTGCGGGCCCGTGCAGCTGCTGTTCGCGTTTCTGAAGGGCAGCCGCACGGTGCGGAAGCACGGGAACTGGTGGCTGATGTACCTGGTGTTCGCGACGCTGTTCTACACGGAGTTTAAGAACGTGATCGCGCGCGTCGCGCACGTGAAGGAGTTCATGGGGGAGAAGGCGTGGATGGTGACGCCGCGCATGGTGTCCATGCACAGGCAAGCGCTGGCGGAGCAGCGGAAGCGAGACATCCGCGTGATGGTCGGATGATGGTGACGATGATGATGATGATGATGATGATGATGATGATGATGATGATGATGATGATGATGATGATGATGATGATGATGATGATGATGATGATGATGATGATGATGATGATGATGATGATGATGATGATGATGATGATGATGATGATGATGATGATGATGATGATCATGGTTTGTCGATGACGGTTGCTGGGTGATGGATGGTGGTGGTTAACAGGTGACTTTTGAGTCAGACTCGAAGGTCATTGGCTGAGAAGGGGACGAGAGACATGGCTGTGATGGTGGCTGGGAGATGGTGGTTTTGAGGTGGTGACCCGATGATGATGGATGAGTGATGATGATGGATGGAACAGTGGTGGTGATTTGGATGGTGACGTTGGTGATATGTAGTGGTGGTGGGGGGGGTGATGAGGGGGAGGAGGCGGAGGAGACGGCAAAGACAGATGACGAGGATGATGCACTGCACTGCACCATCCCTGCTGCTTTTGGCTGCCACACAGCAGAGCATGACGAGCTCTCCGATGAATCCCGATTAATAAATCTCTTGGACTAAGGCCATGCGTGACATGCGTCGTCACGCCTCTCCCGCTCTGCACCCATCAGAGCCAATAAGGCCGTCCAAGCAGCGTCTTAGGCTGCAGCCTTAGCAGCAGCGCTGATTGCACCAGAGAGAGTACCGGTTTTGCAGCACGGGCGGCATGAGCAGTAATAGCAGTATGAGCAGCACATGGGAAAGTAGTGGCAGTGCGTATGGCGCTGATAGTTGACATAGTTCTGCACTCCATGCATTTGTGGGTTCTGTTGCTGCTCGTGGTGTATTTATATTTATGACTATTTTGGGCTGGGCCGGTCGTGCGGACATGTGTGGTAAGCAGCCACAGAGACATGCAGAGACAAGAGAAAAAGTACCTACCGCAACAAGGTTTGAGTGGTACGGTTAGTACTGATACCCATCAGTATCACAAGCAAGATTACGGTACTTATTAACATTCCAGAAATCTAAGTGCTGCTTCCATAGCAATATGTCTATGAAACAATATGTACCGGTACATTGGGCTGGGCTGGGACACTGTAATCTCAGAAACAGCAGCGTGCCTTGGGGTAATATACTGATAGTGGTAGGTAGTTACCGGTACCTGTAACCCCAGAGCTACTTACATCACCGTACAAGGAAAGGCTAATCACATGCTAGCTGGAAAATCACAGCCCCCACGCCACGCTGCCCCAGTCGCAGTCCCGTTAGCTACACCTATACCTGTATCACTCAGCGCATCAGTCACGCAGGAGCAACTCCAGTACAGCCTCTGGAAGCCCCCTCCCCGCTCCAGGCTGCTGCTCCCGCTGTTGTTGCTGCTGCTGCTGCTCCCCGTGCTGCTCCTGCTCCTGCCCCGCATGCTGCAGCTGCACCTGGTGCCTGACTTCCCCGCGGACGTTCCCTCCGGTCTCCCTCACCCCGTTCCCCTCACCTCGTGCTGCCCCCCTCGCATCCTCCCCATCACGGCTTTCCAAGTCCGGTCCCCCTGGCATTGCATGTACTCTGGCAGTAGCAGCAGCACTCGCAGCAGCACTCGCAGCAGCAGCAGCAGTGCCAGCAGTGACATCAGAAGCAGCAGCAGAAGCACCAGAAGAGGGGCGCAGCAGGAGGTTCTGCAGCAGCAGGGCCCGGTGGTGCTGGCCGGAGCGGGAGAGCAGCGCGAGGAGCGTGCGGTAAGTCATGGCATCCGGATGCACTCTGGGGGGGGGATGGCACAGGTGGGGGGGGAAGAGAGAAAGAAGCGGGGGGCTGAAGCAGCAGGAGGTTCTGCAGCAGCAGGGCCCCGTGGTGCTGGCCGGAGCGGGAGAGCAGCGCGAGGAGCGTGCGGTAAGTCATGGCATCCGGATGCACGCTGTGGGGAATAGCACGTGTAGAGGAGGGAGTGGGAGGGGGGAGGGGGAGGGGGGGGGCGGCAAGAGAGTGAGAGACAGGGCGTTTCTTGAGGCACCTCAAAAGGGAGCAGCACGAGGAGCGTGTGGTCAGTCACGGCATTGAGATGTACGGAGGGGGGGGTGATGAAATGGGGCCGGGGATAAGAGAGAAAACGAGGGCAATTGAGAGCTCTCAACAGCCCTTTCTCAAAAGAGGTTGCTCGAAAGTTAATGCAGCACGAGGAGAGTGCGGAGGGTCATGGCATGGCATCTGGATGCACCCTGGGGGGGGGGGAGGGCATGGGCGGGCAGCGAACATGAGAGGCGCATTATAGATTCCTTTGATCAATGCAGCACGAGGAGAGTGCGCCGGGTCATGGCATGGTATCCAGATGCACACTGGAGGGGGGGAGGGCACGGATGGGGGACATGAGAGGGCTACTTGACAAGTCTCAAAAGAGAGATGTAAAAAGTGATTCCTCAGAAAATATTTCTCACGAGTCAACTTTGATTAGTGAATTCTCCAAAAGTCATTCCAGCCCAATAAGAAGAGCACGGCGCCATGGTGTTCGATGAGCGTTGGAATGGCGAGTTTGGAGGAGAGAGAGGGGGGTTTGGTTGGCGAGCGTGAGGGGGAATGGGTGGTGGTGGGTCGCAAGGGGTACATCACCAAACCCCCACACCCCCACATACCCACACATACCCACCACCACCGAGTTACACTCTCTCACCCTGCATCCAGCATCTTTGAATACACCTCTTCGACACTACACTACCTAATGACAGAAATCCTTGCTCTCTCATCCTTTCATCTCATCATGACACCCCCACACCTCCACACATACCCACCACCACCACTGAGTCACACTCACTCACCCTGCATCCAGCATCTTTGCGTACACCTCTACCCCCCTCCTCCACCCTCCCTCTCTCCTCTTCACCTTCTCCTCCTGCACCTCCTCCACCTCCTCCTCCTGCTTTTCCTCCTCCCACTCTTCCTCCTCCCAAACATCTTCCCCTTCCGAACCCCCTTCCTCATCCCACTCGCTGTGCACACCCTCCCCAGTCCCAACCTCCCCCCACTCACCCGTCCCTCCACCCAGCCGCCCCTCCTCACCACCGTCCCCTGTCTGCAACCGTGCTTGCTGCAGCGACGGCTCAACTGGGTGAGGGAAGTCAACAGCTTCAGTCCGCGTGCTGTTCGTGCTGGGCGTGCTGTTGGTGCTTTCACGGACATCAGAACTCAAAGAAAGAGCGTAAGGGTGTGTTGATGGCCTCTGGGACGCGGCCGATTCACCCCGCAGCGAGGGCGCGGGCAGGTCGGAGGCGGCGGATTGAGCAGAGGCAGTAGAGGGAGCGGAGGGGTTGCGGGGGGTGGTGGGAGAGGAGGAGGGTGAGGAGGGGTGGAGCGAGGGTAGAGCGACGTGGGACTGAGTGGTGTGGTGGAGCAGGGAGCCAAGCACGAGGTTGAAGGAGAGCAGGTTGGGGGGCACTCCACACGCCAGCATGTGGTCTAGGAGCTGGTGCGCATGGGGTGTGAGGGGAAGAGAGGGAGGGAGAGAGGGAGAAGGATTGGGAGAGGGAGGAGAGAGGGCGGGAGAGGAAAGAGCACGGGAGAGGGAGGGGGGTGTGAGACGGCAAGTGACACAGGTGAAAGGATGGGAGCGGGAATGAGAGTGGTGCGGATAGAATGGATGGCTGAGTCAGGCCTGCGAATGGTGCATGTGTGTGTGCATGTGTGTGTGCATGTGTGTGTGCATGTGTGTGTGCATGTGTGTGTGCATGTGTGTGTGCATGTGTGTGTGCATGTGTGTGTGCATGTGTGTGTGCATGTGTGTGTGCACGTGTGTGTGTGCATGTGTGTGTGCATGTGTGTGCATGTGTGTGTGCATGTGTGTGTGCATGTGTGTGTGCATGTGTGTGTGCATGTGTGTGTGCATGTGTGTGTGCATGTGTGTGTGCATGTGTGTGTGCATGTGTGTGTGCATGTGTGTGTGCATGTGTGTGTGCATGTGTGTGTGCATGTGTGTGTGCATGTGTGTGTGCATGTGTGTGTGCACGTGTGTGTGTGCATGTGTGTGTGCATGTGTGTGTGCATGTGTGTGTGCATGTGTGTGTGCATGTGTGTGTGCATGTGTGTGTGCATGTGTGTGTGCATGTGTGTGTGCACGTGTGTGTGTGCATGTGTGTGTGCATGTGTGTGTGCATGTGTGTGTGCATGTGTGTGTGCATGTGTGTGTGCATGTGTGTGTGCATGTGTGTGTGCATGTGTGTGTGCATGTGTGTGTGCATGTGTGTGTGCATGTGTGTGTGCATGTGTGTGTGCATGTGTGTGTGCACTGACCTGCATGCACGTGCCCGCCTTCCAGGCAGCAGAGAGCGGCTTGAGCACCAGGTTGTATGAATGCGCTGAGGGGTGCAGACCCCATGTGGGGATGCTCTGCAGCACCTGATAGGATAAGGGAGGGAGAGATGGGGCATGGGGTCATGGTGGTATTGCGCATGGCGGCATGGGGTCATGGGGTCATGGCGGCATGGAGTCATGGCGGCATGGGGGTATGAGCGACTGCTGGCACGTCTCAGCATGAATCAAGGAAGCAGGGATGGCGCCAGCGATGGTGATGGCGACAGCACCAGCACAAGCAGGAACGGCACCAGCACAAGCAGGAACGGCACCAGCACAAGCAGGAACGGCACCAGCACAAGCAGGAACGGCACCAGCACAAGCAGGAACGGCACCAGCACAAGCAGGAACGGCACCAGCACAAGCAGGAACGGCACCAGCACAAGCAGGAACGGCACCAGCACAAGCAGGAACGGCACCAGCACAAGCAGGAACGGCACCAGCACAAGCAGGAACGGCACCAGCACAAGCAGGAACGGCACCAGCACAAGCAGGAACGGCACCAGCACAAGCAGGAACGGCACCAGCACAAGCAGGAACGGCACCAGCACAAGCAGGAACGGCACCAGCACAAGCAGGAACGGCACCAGCACAAGCAGGAACGGCACCAGCACAAGCAGGAACGGCACCAGCGACGGTGACAGCGGCAGCGGCATCATGTCAAGCACGAGCAGCACATCCCAGGCCACTGCCACACGAGCATCACTCACTCACTCACTCACTCACTCACTCACTCACGCAATCACTCACTCACTCATTCACACAATCACTCACTCACTCACTCACTCACGCAATCACTCACTCACTCACTCACTCACGCACTCATGCACTCACTCACGCACTCACTCACTCACTCACTCACTCACTCACTCACTCACTCACACAATCACTCACTCAATCACTCACTCAATCACTCACTCACTCACGCACTCACTCACTCACTCACTCACTCACGCACTCACTCACTCACGCACTCACTCACTCACTCACTCACTCACTCACTCACGTCTGTCGACAATCTCTCGCATTCACTCCCACCCCTCACCTGCATTGCTACGGCGGTCATGCCAGCCAGCCTGGGCCAGAGTGTCTGTAACCAGGTTCAACGTGCGCAGTGACACCACGCGCACACACAAATCTCTCGCCCACTGCTCGCGCTTACTCCCCTCCCTCCCCTCACCTGCATTGCTTCAGCCGTCATGCCAGCTCGGGCCAGAGTGTCAATAACCAGGTTCAACGTGCGCATAGACACCACCCGCACACGCGTCTCCCCCTCCCCGACGCCCCCTCCCCTGCCTCCTCCTGTTCCTCCCGCTGCTCCTCCTTCTTCTCCCCCTGCTCTTCCTTCTCCTCCCTTGGTCAGCACATCATAACCAGCAGTTTCATCTGTCCCAGCTGTCCTAGTAGCCCCACCTGTCCCATCACCACGCGAGTCTCTTTCAAACCTGCTCCCCTCCTCTCTCCATCTTGCCACTTCTCCCCTCTTCCTCTCTTCCATCTCCCCTGCGGCCCTAACTTCAAGCCTATCCGCCTCAACCCTACTGTCACTCCTACTCATCTCACCGCTACTTCCCTCTCCACCCCCACCGCTGCTGCCCCGACTAGCAACATCCCGCCCCCCTTCCCCCCACTCCTCCACCCCTCTAAACCCGCTCCACTCCTCCATTCTCTCCCCCCACCACCCATCCGAATCGCTGCTCCAGCCACTAGTTATGCTGCTGCTGCTGCTGCTGCGGCTGTTACCACTGCCACTGCTGACAGACCTGCTGATGCCCTTACCATCACCGCTCACACCACCACCGCTGCTGCTCCAGGCCCCTATTGCCCCACTGCCCGCCGACTCTCCTTTCCCATCCGCCCCTACTGCCCCGCTCGCCCCTACTCGCGCTTGTCGTGCTGCCATCTGTTGGTATAGCGCCCATGCCTCTGCTCCGTTCCGTAGTCTGTGGAGGGGAAGAGGCAAGCGGGAGCGGCAAGAAGCATATGAAAAGTGGTGAAGGAGAAACGCTTTGTCTTGCTGTCATCTGTTGGTATAAAGCCCATGCCTCTGCTCCGTTCCGTAATCTGTGGATGGGGGGGTTGAGTGGCAAGCGGGAGTGGCAACAAGCGAGTCGGGGAGCAAAGAGGAAACGCTTTGTCCGGCTGTCATCTGTTGCCATAATGATAGCGCCCATGCCTCTGCTCCGTTCCGTAGTCTGTGGAGGGGGGGGAGAGTGACAAGTGGCAAGCGGGAGTGGCACGAAGCGAGTCGGGGGCAAAGGGGAAACGCTTTGTCCGGCTGTCATCTGTTGCTATAGCGCCCATGCCTCTGCTCTGTTCCGTGAAACAGCAACAGCACGAGCAAGCGATAGAAAAAGGGCGCGAGCGAGCGCAAGTGAGCAGCGCGGTGACAGGGGCAGCGGCAGGGGCAGCGGCAGGTTACCCGTTGAAAGCAACTAGCATCTCCTTGCACGCCACTTCAGTCAGCAAACACGTCCTTCCATGCCCAGCGGTGCCTTCAAGTCAACTCAAAAGTGCATGCGAGCAGCAGCAGATGCAGGGGCAGAGGCAGTGGCAGTGGCAGAGGCAGAGGCAGAGGCAGGGGCAGGGGCAGGTTTACCTGTTGCAAGCAACGAGCATTTCGTTGTACACCACTTCTGTGAACACGTCCATCCATGCTCAACAGTGCCTTCAGAGTAAACTCAGAAGTGCATGTGTGCAGCAGCAGAGGCAGCGGCAGTGGCAGGGGCAGAGCCAGGGGCATGGGGAGGTGTACCTGTTGCAAGCAACGAGCATTTCGTTGTACACCACTTCTGTGAATACCTCCATGCCCAACGGTGCCACTCCCCCTCCCCCTCCTCCTTCCCCCGCCTCCTCCTCCTCCTCCTCCCCCTCCTGCTGCTGCTGCTGCTGCCGCTGCTGCTGCGTGCGCTGTGCCTCAGCAGTGATCATGCGAGCAACCTGCAAGCACCGAGCGTGCCGCTCGCACAAGTTGAGTGCACGCAGCAGCGCCGCCACCGCCACTGCATCTGGTGTCACCCCCGCTGCTCTCATCCGCTCGAATATCGCCTCCGCGTCGTCCGGCGCTCCTGCGATTCAAATTCGTGTGCGTGCAGGCGGCACGGGGATGGGTGGGAAGACGTTTTTGAGAATTCTCAAAAGTGATTTCAATGCAGGCGGCACGGGGATGGGTGGGAAGACGTTTTTGAGAATTCTCAAAAGTGATTTCAATGCAGGCGGCACGGGGATGGGTGGGAAGACGTTTTTGAGAATTCTCAAAGGTGATTTCAATGCAGGCGGCACGGGGATGGGTGGGAAGACGAGACGGGGAGAAGGGGGAGAAAGAGGAGATGGGGACGAGAGGGAGGGGAAGGTTTGGAGAGGGAGGAAGGAGGTATGTCGGAGGGATTGAACGCGAAAGAGCATGTGCCTCAAGAGCAGACGCTGTTTTGAGTCGACTCAAAACACGGGATTGAACGCGAAAGAGCATGTGCCTCAAGAGCAGACGCTCAAGCACTGCAACACCGTGCGCTGCCCTGTGTCCTGCCACCCCTTCCCTGCCACTCCCCCCCGTCCTGCCCTGCCCCGCCATGCCATGCCGTGCCTTGCCATGCCATGCCATGCCATGCCATACCGTGCGATGCGAGCGCACCTGCCCTGCCAGCAGTCTCGATGAGGCATGTGAAGGTGACCACGTTGGGCGGGCACCCCAGCGCTGCCATGCGCTCTAATAGCGCGTACGCCTCTGCTAGCATGCCCTGCTCGCACACGGAGAGGAGAGAGGGCGCAGAGTGGGCATGGAAGGCAGGGAAAGGCGATTGAGACAAGAGGGTAAGCGGTAATGAAGTTGGGCGCACATCACATTCCAGCTGTGCTTGCACAGGGAAGACAGACAGCGCGGGGAGGGCAGGGAGGGCAGATAGGGCAGGGAGAACAGGGAGACGCGAACGAGAGAAGAGGGTAAGCGGTAATGAAATTGGGCGCACAAAACATCCCAGCGATGGCATGCACTCCACAGCGGGTAGGTACGCCACTGCTACCATGCCCTGCTCGCACCGGGCACAGGGAGCGGAGGGGGAACAGGGAAGGGACAGGGTCCGGAAAGAGGAGGGGGGACAACGAGAGGAGGGTGGGCAGGAAGGGATAAAACAGTCTCAAAGAGAGATCGTACAAGCGAGTGCTTTTGACAAAAGTGGTAAGCTTTTGGCAAGGTCGCGGGCGCGGTCGAGGGCGCAGGCGCGACTCACTCACCGTCTTGGCATGCGCATCCATGAGCGAGGAAGCAGCCTCCAACGTCGCACTCATGCGAAGTCTCACTCAAAAGCGACTCAGTCAGATATAGCAAGGGCAGGGCAACAGCCTCACGTGCAACCAGCCTCACGCGCGAAGCACTCACCGTCTTGGCATACGCATCCATGAGCGAGGAAGCAGCCAACCAACAAAGTCCCTGTCGGCGTGTGCCTTTGGCAAAGGCGGTGTGCCTTTGGCACGGCCGCAGGGCACGGCCCACTCACTCACTAACTCACCGTCTTAGCATAAGCATCCATGAGAGACGAAGCAGCCTCCACCGTGGCACTCATACCCCTTCTTTGCATCTCCTCAAACAGCCCCTCCGCGTCCCCAACCCGCCCCTCCTTCCCCGCATAGTCCACCAGCACGTTGAAAGTGATCTCGTCCCACTCCACCCCCGCCGTCACCATCCTCTCCGCAATCCTCGCCTTGAGCCTAGCCTTAGTCCAGCACACTCAAACGCCCTGTGCGTTTGGCACGGACGGCCACGGGGCACGACTCACGACTCACTCACTCACCCACTCAAGCACACTCACCGTCTTGGCGTACGCGTCCATGAGAGACGAAGCAGCCTCCACCGTGGCACTCATACCCCTTCTTTGCATCTCCTCAAACAGCCCCTCCGCGTCCCCCACGCGTCCCTCCTTCCCCGCATAGTCCACCAGCACGTTGAACGTGATCTCGTCCCACTCCACCCCCGCCGCCACCATCCGCTCCGCAATCCTCGCCACCTGCACGCCATCCCCTGCTCTCGCCGCCACCCATAGAAGCGCGTTGTACGTCGTCGTGTTGAGCTGCACCCCCGCTGCTTCGGCTTCTGCGGCCAGGAGGGCGGCCTGCTCGGGGCGGTTGGCGCGGCCACACGCGGCGATGAGCGCCGAGTAGGTGACGGCGGTGGGGGCGACTTTGGTGCCGCGGCGCGCGAGGAGGGAGTCTGGGTGCGCCCGGTACACTCCCCTCGGGCTGTTACTGCTGCTGCTGCTGGTGCTGGTAGTGCTGCTGCTGCTGGTGATTCCTACTGCTGCTTTGTTTGTGCTGCTGGTGGCGCTGTCGGCAATGCTCTTGCTCAAAGCACTGCCGCCGATGCTGCTACTGCTGTTACCACTCACCCCCATCCCCGCGCCCCCATTCACTCCCTCATTCACCCCTCCCTTCACCCCCCCACCCACCCCAACTCCCCCATTCCCCGTTCCTGCACCCCCGTTCCCTGCCCCCACTCCCCCGCCCACTCTCCCCGCGACACCCAGCCCCGCAGCCTCCATCTCAGCCTTCACCGCTAGGGCCTCATCCAGCCTCCCCACCCTCCCAAACGCGTCAATCAGCGCATTGAACGTCACCACATTGGGCGAGCAGAACCGGCGTCTCATCAGCGCCAGCACCGCGGCGCCATCATCCGGGCGCCCCGCCTTGCTGTACGCATTAATGAGGGAAGAGTACGAGACCACGTCGGGCTCTATGCCTGCCTTGCGCATGGAGTCGAAGACGGCCCGGGCCTCCCTGTGCATGCCCCATGCTGCGTACGCGTCCAGCAGCGTGTTGTATGTCACTCGGTTCGGCTGGATTCCCGTCACCGCGCCTCCCCCTCCCCCTCGTCCTCCCCCTCCCCCTCCCCCTGCGCGTCCCCCTCCCCCTGCGCCTGCCTTCCCCCCTGCGCCGCCTCCCTCCCCCCCACTCTCCGCCAGCATGCTGTCAAACAGCGCTTGCGCCTCCCTGTGCCGTCCACTCGCCGCCAGCGCATGCAACACAACGTTATAAGTCACCAGATTCGGCCGCCACACTGCACCGCTCCTCACCCCGCCCTTCATCCGCTCAAACATCCCCAGCACCTCGTCGAATTCCCCCAGGCGCGCGTGGCAGCAGAGGGCGATGTTGTGCGAGATCTGGTCGGGGCGCGCGCCGGGGAAGCTGCCGGCACGGAGGCGGGAGAAGAGGGAGAGTGCGTGGCGGAACTGCTGGCCGTTCTTGAGCGCGGTGAGCAGCGTGTTGTACGAGACGATGTCGGGGGCCACTCCGTCCGCCTGCATGCGGTCGAACATGACAAGGGCCTGCTGCCACTGCCCCGTGCTGCCACACGCGTTCATCAACGCGTTGTAGGCTTCCCTGCTGGGAGGGACCTGGAAGGGAGGGTGAATGGGAAGGAAGATGGAGGGAGGAGAGGGTGAGGGGCGGAGGAGGGGAAGAGCAAGGGGGGAACGAGGTAGGAGCAGGCGAGAGAAGAGGAAGAGGGAGAGCGCGTGGCGGAACTGCTGGCCGTTCTTGAGCGCGGTGAGCAGCGTGTTGTACGAGACGATGTCGGGGGCCACTCCGTCCGCCTGCATGCGGTCGAACATGAGAAGGGCCTGCTGCCACTGCCCCGTGCTGCCACACGCGTTCATCAGCGCGTTGTAGGCTTCTCGACTCGGGGGAACCTTGGGGGTTGGGGGAAGAAGGGAGAGGGGACGGGCGGAGGGGGAGGGGATCAAGGGACTTTTGAGGTGACTTTTGAGTCGACTCAAAAGGCGTGTGAGAAGCCACTGCCCCGTGCTGCCACACGCGTTCATCAGCTCGTTGTGGGCCTCGTGACTTAAGGGCACCTGGGGGGGAGGAGGGGAGGGGGTGACGGAGGGAAGGGGATTGGAGGGGTGGAGAATGGATGGAGAGAGGCGGACGGATGGGGGGAAACGGGAGGGACTGGAGGGGAAGGGAACCTCGGTGGGCCAGGGAATGGATTGGGAGGGGACCAGGAGGGAAGAGGAGAACAGAAGGTACGAGGGGAGGGAGGAGGGGGAAGAGGAGGAAAATGGGCGACAGGGACATGGTTGGGATGGTGATGTTGAGGGGTTGATTTTGAGAATTCTCAAAATCAACCTCAAAGAGGAGGAAAATAGGCGGCAGGGACATGGTTGGGATGATGATGTTGAGGGGAAGAGCAGGGAAATGGAAGCATGGCCCTTTTGAGTCGACTCAAAAGTCAATGGAAGCATGGCCCTTTTGAGTCGACTCAAAAGTCAATGGAAGCATGGCCCTTTTGAGTCGACTCAAAAGTCAATGGAAGCATGGGCCATGCATCAATTATCCAGTGAGAGAACTGGCTGCTGTGAAGGGCTTTCCCTTTGCACGCACTGCCTTCTCACGCAGTACCTTTGCATGCACTGCCATTGCACGAGCCATAGGGGGGAGAAAGAAATGAAATGACCCAGGGGCGGTCACTGCTCACTGCTCACCTTGTCTCGCAGCATGGAATCGAAGGTGTGCACTGCGGCCTGCCAGTCGCCCATGCGTGCGTGCGCGGACATGAGCGCAATGTACACATGTACGTCCGGCTTGCAGCTGCACACGCGCGCGCAGGGCGCGAAGGGGTGGGAAGGCGCGTAGGAGCAGAGAGAGGAGGGTTGGGAGGGAGAGGAGGGGGAGGGGGAGAGGGAGGGGAAAGATAAGTGGGAAAGGAGGGGGGAGAGGAGGGGGAGGGGGAGAGGGAGGGGAAAGATAAGTGGGAAAGGAGGGGGGAGAGGAGGGGGAGGGGGAGAGGGAGGGGAAAGATAAGTGGGAAAGGAGGGGGGAGAGGAGGGGGAGGGGGAGAGGGAGGGGAAAGATAAGTGGGAAAGGAGGGGGGAGAGGAGGGGGAGGGGGAGAGGGAGGGGAAAGATAAGTGGGAAAGGAGGGGGGAGAGGAGGGGGAGGGGGAGAGGGAGGGGAAAGATAAGTGGGAAAGGAGGGGGGAGAGGAGGGGGAGGGGGAGAGGGAGGGGAAAGATAAGTGGGAAAGGAGGGGGGAGAGGAGGGGGAGGGGGAGAGGGAGGGGAAAGATAAGTGGGAAAGGAGGGGGGAGAGGGGGGAGAGGAGGGGGAGGGGGAGAGGGAGGGGAAAGATAAGTGGGAAAGGAGGGGGGAGAGGGGGGAGAGGAGGGGGAGGGGGAGAGGGAGGGGAAAGATAAGTGGGAAAGGAGGGGGGAGAGGAGGGGGAGGGGGAGGGGGATAGGGAGGGGATACATGGGGTTAGGTCGTTTTTGAGGCGCCTCAAAAGAGGAGGGCATGCACGGGGTTAGTGGGGTGGGTGGTAGGTAGATGCAAAATGAAGAAAAAGAGGGCGATTTCCAACAAAAGTGGAGTAGCAAGCGACAAATTGACATGAAAGGGATGCCGCCCCCGAGGTGACTTTTGAGTCGACTCAAAGGGATGCCGCCCCCGAGGTGACTTTTGAGTCGACTCAAAGGGATGCCGCCCCCGCCACCCATCATCACTGTGAAACATTCGCTTCCCACATTGCGTCTGAGATGGATGTTCAGTTGATTATAATTGAAAGAATGCGCTTGAGGCACTTAAGTTGGGGAGCAAGCATGTGCATTTCACGCGTTTCACCTGATATGACACGATTTGTGTTTCCTGAAGCTCGTCCGACATGGCCGCCCCCCACTTACCCTTACTCCTGGCTATTCCCCCTCCACCCTTCCCCCTCCACCCTTCCCCCTCCACCCTTCCCCGTACCCCGTCTCCCCTGCCCCCCGTCCTTCCTAACCCCCCGCCCCCTCTCACCGCCACTCCAGCATCTCGCGGAACAGCTCCCGCGCGCGGTTGACCTTGCGCGAGCGCGCGGCGAGGTGCATGAGGTGCGAGTAGATGGGCGGCTGCGCGCGGTAGCAGCGCTGCGCCTTCATCCACCCGAACACCTTGAGCGCCATGCGCAGGTCCCCGTGCGCCGACACGGCTTTAATCAACGGCAGGAACAGCTTCCGGTTCTTGCGCCCGCTCCACCGGTTCAGCACGCCGTCCACGTCATCCCAGAAATTCAGCCGCATTACGCGCTCCACCACACGATCCACGCTCTCCTCGCCTACGCCCCATCCCCGCTCCGCCTCCTCCGCAATTTGCTTCCCCTTCCTCCTCTTCCGCAGTTGCGACCTGTCAACCCCCTCGTACGCTTTCCATTCCTTGCGCGCCCTCACAGCGCTCCCACTGCCGCCCGCACCCAAAGTTTCCCCATTCGCCTCGTTTGTCCTATCTGCACGTTCTCGAAACCCAGTGGTACGCGCTAGACTCCCGTTCCCCTCCATTCCGCGCCTAGCCGCCGCGTCGCTAGCATCACCCGCGCCATCAAACCCGCCGTTAGCCTGGGCGCGCCCACGTTGCGCAAGGTTTCCTCCCCCATGCGCCCCATCACTTCCGCCGCTTTCCCCGCGCCTGCCCGGACTGTCGGCACCGCTGCTCCCGTCATCCTCTAACCCCTTCCCTCGCACCCAACTCCGCTCCGATCCGCCTCTTCCGCTCCCCGTGACCTTCCCCAATCCCTTCTGCGCTTCAGCCCGCGCTCCGCTGTTGGGCGCGGCATGCGCGGAAGCCGGGAGCGCTGTGGGGAGAGGAGGAGACGAGCGGGCGGATGCGCGGTGGAGCTGCGGAGAGGGCGGGGATGGCGGTGGGGATGATAAGCGCTGGCGGAACAATGGGGATAGAGCATTCGGAAGCGAATGCAAGGGGACAGAGGAGGGGAAGGAAGACGAGTGAGAGGGAGGAAAGGACGGGGAGGAAGGGGAGGCTAGATGTGGGGGAGGGTTGACGGAGGAAGGAGCGGAAGAGCAGCAACGTAAGGAGAGAGGGCGAGGGGTATGCGGGGTAAGAGGCGGCGGCGGGAGCTGCGCGGCGGCGGTACTGCGGAGTAGAAACCCGGAAGACTTTTGTGAATTCCCAAAAACAAACTGATAGCCGGCGCGTGAGCGCTGAGTGTGACGGACGAGGGCCGACCGGGGAGTGCAACGGCGGAGAGACACGGACGCGCTAGATCCAAGGATGCGTGGCGCATCGAAGCGCGACGCGGGGAAGGGAGGGGCTAGCGTGGAGGCAGAGGGAGCCATGGAGGCGAGTACTACAGGTTGACAGGAGGAAATTGAAAACGTAACGGGAATTCATGTGAGGGAGTGGCGAACAGGATCGGATCGCTCAGATTCCAGCCGTTCGACGCACATCCTTGTGGGACGAAGATTATTTGGCGCTTGCCAGTGCTTTCCTTGACATACAGCGCAGCATTTAGTGAGTGGGTCAGGCAGCTCACTCAACCAGCAGCCGTCCTTACCTTGGCCGGGGAATTTCAGTTTTATGCGTGTTCCTGATTGGTTTGCATATCAATTATGTGCGCTTGTGTGCTGCTGTACAGTGCTGGTACGTTCCTACTGAAACGAGGACAGCCGATGTGGCATGACCAGGTGATCTATCAGGATATCGTGTAGCCAATAGCCAGTGCACCATGTTCGCTGGGGCAGATCCGACTGTCAAGCAACCACCTTCGCCATCATGCTTTTGATTATACTACAGTAAAGAGAGAAGGCAATTCTGTACAATATGCCAAAGTCTTGAAGGATTTGAGGAGAAATTTTACTATGATTTAAGTTTGGCGGGAATGAGCTGTCAGTAATTTAGGCCACTCACTGATATCCCCTCAGATAATTATTTTCTTGGATGACGGGTATTGACTGTATAAATCCCGAACTTCCATCATGTGGTGTGATGAAGCTTGGGTGCTGGGCTGGTTATGTTTTTAATGTAACGATTCATCATAAAACGAATTTATCCGTGGACGACTATTCCTCTATAGCGAATTGTCCATAGAATTGACTTTCGCGCCTGGCTTGGCAACGTGTATTTCGTTTCGCCCACGCCCAGCCTCTCACAACGTCTCCCGCCAAACTCCCTTTTCAATACCGCGACTCGGTACTCCCACGCCCACACCTCGGGGTCACCACCACCACCACACCACACAGCAGCAGCACAGCACAGCACAGCAAACGTTTCCCTCCCCCCTGCATTCCCCACTTCCCTCCCCACCAGGAACCCACTTTCCGTTTCTTCCATTTCGCTCTCCCTCTAGCTTTCTCGCCCTCCCTGTGCTTTCTTTTATCAACATCATCCTACCACACAACACACTCAACTCATCCGCAAGCCGCCTAATTTGCGGGTTCCCAGTGCTTCGCGCGACACGAGAAACCCACACGGAAGCCACAACGTGACACTTCTCCTGCTCCCTCTCATCATCGTCCTTACTCTGTCTTGCTTCTGTAGGCTTGTTCTGACATCAGCACCAGAACATACCGTCACACTTTTCTTCTCCAAAAATCGCTAGATTTCTTGTCCTTCCCATTCTAATCGAACACCCCCCATTGCATCCTGTGCCCCGACGGAGTAACAGTAGCCCCAGGTATTATCTATCTCTCCAACATTTCACAACCAGGCGACGTTCCGTGATTCTTAGTATTGTCTGCACCTCCGTCCTTTTTTGTAACTTCAACCCACTCGCACTCTTAGCATCTCATCCAGAGACCGTTTGCCATACCATAAACAAAAGCACGTATTGGGTAATATAACCATTTGCTACGTTATCGGCTCGTAGAGCGAAGCGCGAGACAATGGGTAAAGGAGGAGGCTGCTTTCCCAGCAAGAGCAAGACTAAAAAACCCGACGACGCAGTCCCACCTGCTGAACCTCCTGCACCAGAACCAGCTGCTGCTGCTGCTGCTGCTGCCACTTCAGCCGAGCCAGCAGCACCACCAGCTGCAACAGCAGCAGAGCCAGCAGCGAGCACGGCTGAGGCTGCCGGTGCGGCCACTACCGAGGCGCCCAAGACTGAAGCGGAGGCGCCGCCGGAAAGTACCACCCCCGCAGCGAAACCTGCTGAGCCTGCGGCTGCGGAAGGTTCCGCTCCTGCTGCCCCCGTTGCAGCGGAGGCTGCTCCGGTAGAAGCAGCACCGGCTGCTGCAGAGCCAGTTGTAGCAGAAGCAGCACCAGCTGATGCTGCAGCCGCCGCCGCCGCAACCGAAGCAGCGGCGCCATCCAGCGAAACCCCCGCGACTGGTAGCGGAGATGTTCCCAGTGCTGTAGCTGCCGCCGAAACAAGCGCACCCGAAGAGACTCCAGCACCAGAGTCTGGGCCTTCAGCAGGACCGGACGCCGAGCCTGTTCCCGAGGCTGCAGCTGCCCCCGCCGCAGAACCCGCCGAGCCTATTCCCGAACCTCCTAGCGTGCCTGAAGCAGTAGCGGAAGCGCCGGTGGCGGAAGCTGCAGTGGTGGCGGACGCTGCTGTTGCGCCAGCGGCGGTGGAGACGGTGGAAGCGGGCGCCAAGGGTGAAGAGAAGGCGGCAGAGGGACAGGAGACAGCACCGGCGGAAGGTACGCGCTAAACAAGAGACGGTTCAGTTAGTCGTTTAACGGGAGGAGGAGGATGCACGCTTATTGACGGTATATCCGCTGAACATATACCTTCTTTATTTGAGGCTGGGGGTTCTAGTGTCTTGCGAAGGGAAATGCACAGTTAGCTGACGTGCACTGTAGAGGCGAAAGCAATAGCAGGTCCGAGAGACGTGGAAGCGGTCACAGACGTGGAAGCGGTCACAGACGGGGATGTAAGTAGACGTAGACGTGCACGTAGACGAAGGCGTACGCATGACAAGTGGTGACCGTCACTTTCTTTTTCCTCCATGCTTCCATTACGCATCTCATTACAACGCCATTTTCCCGCGTGTGGAACCCCGTCCGTACAGCGGTCCCTGAAAAGCTCGTCTTTCTCTCCCGCATCCTGCGCTCATCTCTCGTCCCATCGTGCGTGCGTCTGTGTGTGTATGTGCACCCCGCCCTCAATGCCCTGCAGTTGTGCCTCCGTCATCCGACACGGTCAAGGTCTACATTGTGTAAGTCGCCGTGCCGTGCCGTCCCGTCCCGTGTCGTGCCGTGCCGTCCTGTCCTGCGCCGTGCCGTCCCGTCCCGTCCCGTATCGTGCCGTCCCGTCCCGTGTCGTGCCGTCCCGTCCCGTGTCGTGCCGTGCGTCCCGTGCGGTTCCATTCTATGCCACGCACCATAGACCCACCAATCGCTTTCCTTTGTCATTCCCATTTCCAAACACAATCAGCCAATCGCGTGGGTTCCTTCATGCCCCACAAAGCCAACTCTCTTTCTCTCAACCGCCACCTCTGCCTGCCTCAATATCGTTCCTCTCCGCCTGCCCGCCTGCCCGCCTGCCCGCCTGCCCGCTGGCTCCCTGGATCTTGTGTGGTGCAGCTTCTATTCGATGTACGGGCACGTGCTGACCATGGCGCACAAGGTGAAGGAGGGCGTCGACAGCGTCGACGGCGCGCAAGGCTTCCTCTTCCAGGTGCGCGCGCTCATGCTCATGCTCATGCTCCCCCGCCCGCCTCGCCCACCGGTTTCCCCCATTTGGTCCTCGCCGAGTGCATTTCCCAGTCCTCCGTTCCGCGCCCCTCTTCCTTCCCCCGCCCTTCCCCTCCCTTTCCCGCTCACGCTCCTTTTCCCGCTCCCCGCATCCCCCCCAGGTGCCCGAGACTCTCCCTGACGCTGTTCTGGCGAAGATGGGCGCGCCGAGCAAGCCGCTGGACATCCCGGAAATCACGCCCAAGGCGCTCTTCGAGGCGGACGCGATCATCTTCGGCTTCCCCACGCGCTTCGGCATGATGTGCGCGCAGATGAAGCAGTTCCTCGACGCGACGGGCAGCCTGTGGCGCTCGCAGGCGCTGTCGGGGAAGCCTGCGGGGTTCTTTTTCAGCACGGGCACGCAGGGCGGCGGACAGGAGACCACTGCGTGAGTGCGGGGCGGGTGAAGGGGAACGGGGGGGAATGGGGAAATGGGGAACGGGAAGGGGGGAGAGAGGGGGAAACCAGGCGCGCGTCGGGGGGGGAGGGGATTGTGGGAAGATAGTGGTGTGGTCTGTGCTGCGAGTACTGGGAATGGGCGTTTGACTTGTGGCTCTTTTTTGGCTGTTCACCTGACAGTGAGGCCACTTTTCACACATTCATTCACCACAGGAATATCCTTGCCGACCATATTCACTCTACCTTCACACCCACAGAAACGACTCGCCCCTCTCAGTTCATTTCTAGCCCCCGTCCAACGTGACATGCATTATGCCAGCTGCTACACACGCACCGTTTATAAGGAAAGCACTTTGTAACTCTTTCCAGCCCGCTCACCTCACCTTCCCCCTTACCCAACCCCCCTACCTCCTCCCTCTCTGCTCCCCACCTCCCCATCTATCCCTCCTTCCCGTGACATCCTCTCAATCCCTGCCCCGATACTCTCATCGCCCCACCTCTCCCGGTGTCCCCCAGGCTGACGGCGATCAGCCAGCTGGCGCACCACGGCATGATGTACGTGCCGGTGGGGTACACGTACCAGGGGCTCTTCAACCCCGAGGTGCACGGGGGCTCGCCCTACGGCGCCGGCACGTACGTGGCGGACGGCAGCCGCAACCCCAGCGAGCTGGAGCTGGAAATGGCGGCGCACCAGGGCCGGCTGACTGCCATTGTGGGTGCTAAGCTCAAGAAGGGATCTCTGGCTGAGGATGCGGAGGAGGGGGGTTGATTGTCTGGGTGGGTGAGGCGGTTGTGGAAGAGAGGGGTGATGATGGTGGTGGTGGGAGGAGTGGGGGGAGTGTGGGGGAAATAAGGTGGGCTCTCCAGGTAGGTGGAAGTAGGATGCAGAAGGTAAGGTTGTGTGTGGGAACTTGGGGCGCTTTTGTGTTCCTTGTGGATCACGTGAGAAAGGAGTCTGTCTGATGATCTTTGCCCATCTGTGGATCAAACAAATTTGGCACGATCTAGCAGATATTGCCAGTAGAAGAATGTTCTAATGAGCGTGGCTTTTCTAACATTCTGGCGGAGCATATCGTGCCTGCTTGAGCTTCCTAACTTGCAAGCTTGCTGGTTACCTCATAGGCTGGAGCAAGAATATTTCTGGGTTGTAGTGAGGAAATAGTTGATGTAAGTAGTGGCTGATTATTGTGAGATGTGTTTATTTCATTCTGATCAGTGGCTGATTATTTCCATTTTAGGGAGCCATGCGTGCTTTGTGGTCCGACACCGTTCACGTAGGTTCTGGTCGTTAGGGCGGGTCCAGCTTTGCACATGTACAATAAAAATTTTCAGCTCAGTTACCACATTTCGGCATGTAACAGAACTACAAACGAACCAGAATCCATTTGACGCGAGACTGTACATATGTGATGACATTTCGAAAACGTGCCCGGGGACGTGCAGAACTCGTCCGAAGGTTCACGTCAAACTCGTTTCGCGTCAAACACGCCAGAAGGTAACACCTTGTTTCGCTAATTTGTTTTCGCCAATGAATCCCCCCTCTGTCACAGGTGCAAAAAACCTCGCTTTATTGGGTAACCCCTCATTCCAGGTACTGTACCCCGCAGCGTTACTGTACCTTGTCAAAAGTCCGAATTGTGCACTCGGAACTGGACAGGAAATGTTTGGAGTTCGCACTAGGGCCCAGTCAAGTTTGACTAGTGCATTGACGTAAGAATAACGAAAAAAACGGGAGTGTGCAAAGTTGGACCCGCCCTTAATACCCGAAGACCCGACGAGGTACTGTATGAATATGCACAACAGCAATTATAACATGTCTGATGTTATTCTTCTCATATAAAATATCTGATAAGGGTGATTGTAATCTGGACGCGTTTCCCCATAACGAAATTCAATTGTGGCTCTTTCGGTGCACAGAACAGTATATTGCACAGTTCAGCCCGTGTTTCCATCGCCCAAGCCCAAAAGCTACCCAAACCCTATCCAAGTCACATACACCATTGGTTTTGGATTTCAGGCTGCCAGTACATTCTGAAACTGGTCCTCCATGACAGCTTTCGAATCCTGCCTGCTGTCCCTTCGATCTGCATGAGGTGGCGTGGCGTCCATTATTTTTTTTGGGTTGCGAAGCAACCTATTACGATTGATTTGGCCAGTTTTTTTTTCACATTTTCATATTTTATTTATTTAAAATATAATATGAAAATAAATAAAAAAACTGGATGCACTAACTGCTAGCTACGTAAACTGTAGGTGGTCCTCTCTAGTTCAATTATACTAACGTGGTGGTACCCTTTTTTTTAGACAACTAGGTTAGTCCTGTGATTTACTTTGCTGTGATTTACTGCCGTATAATATGCACATAAAATGATAAAATGAATATGATGATCGGTGAATTTAGATGAATAGAATGATATTATATGAAATATGATATATTGTGTATGATATGATATGATAAATGAGAAATGCATGCCTTATGTTTAACAATCTATGATGCATATTTATAATGACAAAGATGCGTGAAAGCTAACAATCCAAAAACTATGCTACCGCATCCCTCGCCTAGCATATCGGGGAGCTGATAGCATAATTTTTGAACAATCAGCAGTCACATGAGACAACACAATCTGTGAACTCTAGAAAGATGGTCAACTCTATCATCTCCAGTTCAAGTGGGCTCCCGACAGGCGCGCCAATGAACCTTTGGGTAAAAATGATAGAGCCGATTCACCCTTTTAAAACCTACAGACATGCATTGTTAATGAAATGGTGGATGAATGCACACTCACACAAGCAAATACATTCACAACACAACAACCAAACGCATCAACAGAAAAAAACCCAGCCGAAAACCCATGATAATACATAAAAGATGAAAAACAAAATAAAAATGACAATATGGTAAGTCCTATTAGTGACAACTACAAAATCTCCAGATTGAACTTGTCTTCCTGACCAGCAAGACTTCTGAGAACAAAAAAAAAGATAAAAAGAAAAGGAGATCAGAGGAAAGTGGTAAACATGAATAATCAGGATACAAAATTACGGATGATGAAAAGGGAAGGCAAGGTAGGGTAAACATAACAGAAAACATAGCATATCAAACAAAGCAGAAAACAGAAGCATAAAACGGAAGCATGAAACGGAAGCAGAAAACGGAAGCAACAAACTGAAGCAGTAAACATAATGAAGGACGGAGGGAAGGAGGTATGGAAGGTATGAAGGAAGGAAGGAAGAGCGAGAGCGAGAGCCAGAGCAAGAGCAAGAACGAGAGAACTGGAGTGAGAGAGGAGAACGAGAGAGAGAGAACGAGAGGGCGATAAAAACCGAGAGAGAAAGAACGAGAGAGAGAGAGAGAGAGAGAGAGAGAGAGAGAGAGAGAGAGAGAGAGAGAGAGAGAGAGAGAGAGAGAGAGAGAGAGAGAGAGAGAGAGAGAGAGAGAGAGAGAGATAGAGAGAGAGAGAGATGTTGAGAATTGTGGCATAAGTAGAAGTTAGGTTTAGGGCCTAGGCTTGGTAGCCTAGGCCAAGGGGGAGTCAAGAAAGTTGTGCCAGAGAGAAAGTCGAGAATGGGAATCGTGTTCACTATAGCACTAAGGTACATATAGCAAACAGAGCATGCAAAGAAGGTGCACCACCAACAGTTTATAATAACTACACTAAACTACAGCTACAGGTAGTTACATATATATTCTAACAAGAGAGAGAGAGAGAGAGAGAGAGAGAGAGAGAGAGAGAGAGAGAGAGAGAGAGAGAGAGAGAGAGAGAACGAGAGGGATAGAACGAGAACGAGAGAGAGAACGATAGAGAGAGAACCAGAGGGATAGAACGAGAACAAGAGAGAGAGAGAATGAGATAACGAGAGAGATAGAACGAGAACGAGAGAGAGAGAACGAGAGAGATAGAACGAGAGAGAGAGAGAACGAGAGAGAGAGAACGAGAGAGAGAGAGAACGAGAGAGTGTGAACGAGAGAGAGAGAGAGAGAGAGAGAGAGAGAGAACGAGAGAGAGAACGAGAGAGAGAACGAGAGAGAGAGAGAACGAGTGAGAGAGAACGAGTGAGAGAGACCGAGAGAGAGAGAGAGAACGGGGAAAAGAGAGAGAACGAGATAACGAGAGAGATAGAACGAGAACGAGAAAGAGATAACGAGAGAGAACGAAAGAGAGATGCAACTACGAATAGAAGGAGTGACTAATCGAAGAGTCAGAAAAAAGAGAAGGAAGGGCGAAGAAATGATAAAGCAAAAAAGGTCACGAAAACCAAGACAAACGTCACTAGATGCGGATCTATTAAAAGGAAGGAACAACTCGATAAAATCTTAAGAAACGGAATGAACGAGATCGGTAAGGAACGAACACGGGACTGGAAGGGAAAAAAAGAAGGAAAGAACAACAACCAGAAAGCATATAACCTGTAACCTAAGCATGAACAATTTGCATCCCTTCAAAACGGCCAACACTAGAGTAAACGAGTAGGATAAGATACTAATTCGTAATCAACTAACTTAGTTCTAGATAATAGGTAAGTCTAATCTCACCTTGGCATAGGTAGGTGGAGCAGCGTGACTAGTGGGAACATTGTAAGCTCCGACTGGCGAGGAGGGAGAGAAAAAAGGGACGAAACAAACCCTAGGCAATGACAGATTCGTCGCAAAAAATATTTTATTGTTAAAATCTGCTGCAAACACTGGATAGTGGTGTGTGCACAGTCGGTTGAATTGTGATCTTTAAACGAGCGGTCTTGAGTGTCAAAATATGTTGTTTGTGTAGCCTGCAGTGGGGTACTCTATAGTGAGTACAGCCCCTTAGGGTTTGCTATTTGTATCCTGCTGCTTGCTAGTTCAATAACTCCTTCTCAATTCTGTTCCTGCACACAATCCTAGCTCGTACTTGGCGCCTCCTTTCGTAGTCCTACTGTGGCTCAGGCTACTAAGCCTAGGCCGTACTCCTACTATATCTGACATTGAGTTCTACCTGCTCATGGATCGTTTTGAGATTCTATTGCATTTACAGATTGTATCAAAACATAACCACTCGCCAGGTAATTTGACGTAGTGGTTTCGAATTTCGGAAATATGCCCGAGATCGCCGTATCGAATTACGCTAGGTGAATACCATAAGTCCATGTTCGTTTTCACTGTTTCTTTGAAGTTTAGAACACTAATTTCTTGTTTTCCTTCATGTAAGACTATCAACATTCAGTTTGAATGCAAAGCATAATACAAGTATGTAGCATGAATCTGAATGAATATGGATAAAGAAACTACGGTATGAAAGCTTTAGTAATACTCATCAATCCAAAAGCTCTGCATATTTGAAACAATATTGTTGCCTCATGCATTTCATACAATTTGAATTTTACATAGATAATGTAGTTTAGGAAAACGCAAAACGCTTCGCAACCCTAAGACGATTTAGTCGCCTCTTGGTTTTGATGTATTACATTATTCAATGCCTACACCCACAGTCGTAACTGGGGCGTCCAAAATATTCTTGCTCCGCTGGACTGACACGAAGAAAAGTTACGATGACTTTTGGCCCCGTCCAGGGAACAGACCGACGAAACTTTTCCCGCCGTGGTCCCAGTTCGTTTTGGGCTGCCCTTCCATTCAAGAGATCACTCGTTTCGTAATTGTCAGCGGAGTACACCAAGTCATCGCCAACTTCACTAGGGCCAATTTCGCCACCCTCTGTATTCATTTTGAATTCACCCCAATTTAAGGGGTTTTTCAAACAATTTGGCTTTAAGGAAACCAGTGACCTGGACTGCGCACATGAGTCAGCGGAAAAACAAACGAAACATGGTCGCATCGGAAGATTCAGTATTTGCGTTGCAATCTCAACGTCAGAAGGGGCAAACATCGAAACGTCACAATGCCTCGGATAGCCTCTAAATCGTGGGTTTCTTACCTCCTATAGCCTTAAGGTCAGTTTTGGCTTAAGGAAGTACTGACGGGGCGTGAAATTGGCGAGGACTGTGTAAACCCAGGCTTGTAAGGACGTGGGCCCAATCGAGGGCCCTCGAGGGCTTTCCCTAGGCTGGTGTCAGGTTCATATTTTCCCGAGGAGATATCTAAGTTCCTACCACTGTTAACTAATATCAAGGAGCACTCGACTACCAAGGTCAACAGTTTCATGCATCACCAGCCAAGGAAGAAACCAAGGCAGTTGCAACCACAATGCGGCTATAAGAAACCGGTGCTCAGAGAAGTCATTTCAAATAACACAACTCCCCGTGCTTCATCCAGCCTCGGTCGCAGTTTCTCCTGTTCTCATCATCGCACCATGCCACGTGTGACGAAGAAGACTGTCAAGCCGGTGAACAAGCCTGCGGGTACTGAAGTGATGGATCCGGCAGCTAAGGGGCACCAGTCAGAGCCGGCTACGCCGAAGCCGCAGTTGAAGGACGTGGAAGGCCCTTTTGACGGTGGTGTGCGCGCATCGCTGGCGAAGAGGCTGTCTGCGCTTAAGTTTCCTTCGTCGGATGCGCCTGTTGTGGATGGGGACAACAATACTAACGAAGGACAAGGCAAAGAGGAGGAGGTGAAATCGCCGATCGCTGCTCCCGATGCACCTGAGGAGGGGAGTGAAGACGAGGAAGAAGAAGATGATGGGTATCTTATTGATGACCCTGAGGAGCGTTTTGACCCGGTGAAAGCTGGAGAAATTGCTGCGCGCGCGGGGTTCCGATCAAGCACGAGGAGGAGGTCCCCCGCACTATTGACACGGTCAAGGGACTCCTCGCGCTGTGGAGGAAGTTTATGTCGGCTCACGTACTGACGACGACCAGGTGCCAAGTCCTCTTGCCGGCGTGGCTGTCAAAGAAGCGGTATGGGAGGATGCAAGTCACTTTCCAGCAAGCATCGGACGCGAACTACGTGTGGTGTCGCCGGATCCAGCACAAGATGTTGAACGAGGAGAGCATTTACCTGGACTGGCAACACCCGGAAAACCCGTTGTACATTCAGGAGCGTGCGACTAACCCGGAATCCATCGAAGTGCTGCTGAAGAGTGTCCCGGCGGCCATTACGTCGGAAATGGTGTAAGAATACCTGGTGAAGACGGTGCTGGAGAAGCGGGGTCGGACGCCTTTCCTCAGTGGAGCTGCTTTCCACAGGGTGGTAGATCCGGCTACCGGTGCAGACACTGACAAGATTCGGGGTCTGGTTAAGGGACACCCGGGGGATAAGTATCGCTGGTGGCATTTGTTGGTCGACTCAGTGCATCACAAGCAGCTTCTCGTGCATTACCCCTCGCTCACCTGTGATTTCTGCGCTGGCATGCATATGACGAAGTTTCACGATGATTTTGTTACGGAGCGGCAGGAGAATATCGGCAAGTGGAACCTGACTCTCGAACGTCTGCACGCGATCAACGGTAAACGGTCAACCACTAACCTCGTTTTTCAGGCTGTTGGGGCCCTGTTCGTCCCTGCTGACGGCTTCGTCGCCTCATACCTGAGCAGCTGCGTCCCTGCCTTTAGACGCGCGGGTGAAGAAGATCTTGCGCGACCCTGCGGTGGTCTTGGTCTCCACGGGAGGAAGCCGGGAGGAGTGGTTGTGCGTCCAGGAGGCGTGTGGCAAGGCGCATGGCTCCAGCTTTACGCAGGCGCTAGCGCATGTGAAGTCGGTGCAGCACTGTACAGCTATCCTGCAGGGAGACGCAGCAAGCAGGAAGAGCAGGGGGAAAATGAATTTCCTTCCGATTCGCAAGGAGTTCGGGCTGTAACGGGGACAGTGCAGAGGAAGAAGGCTGTCCGAAGTATTCATGACCGAGGCAGACGAGGCAAGCGGGGAGTAAGGAGGTTACCTGATCGTTGTGCGTGGGTGTGCGTAGGAGTTTTGCTGTACCAAGCCCGTGGATGCGAAGGGGCTCTGTCTCAGTGGTTTAATGGATAACACCCGCAATCTCACACTGTGCGAGGTCAATGTTAATGGCCTCGGAAGCAACGGCAAAAGAACTGCACACGCAAAGTGGATCAGAACGATTGCAGACGTGGTGGTGCTCACAGACACGAAAATCAGAGAAGATCACAACTTCTGGACGCAGTTGAAACCCACCTCGGTAGCGGCGATGGGGAACAGTGAACGAGCAGGAGGTGTTGCGGTGTTGTCTTTCAATAAGGAGATTAAGTTCACAGAGGCGATTACTCACCCATCGGGGAGACTGGTGGGAGTCACGGTGTCGTGCCCGCAGATCTCTTTCAGGCTGATAGCGATGTACCTCCCGGCGCAGCCGTGTGCCAGAGGAGTTTTCTTCCGGAGCTGCCTCCCGCTGTTTGTCCAGGCTCAGCCGGCGCACGCCCACCTGGTGGTTCTGGGAGACCTGAATTTAGTGGAGGACCCCGACCTGGACAAAGCGTCGCACTCGGGCTCGGGAAATGAAAATCAGAGGTTGCTGAGTTTCTGGAGAACAGAGGACCTCAGAGACGCCTTCCGGGCTCTACATCCGTGCCGTCCGGAGTACACCTTCAGAGACAGGGCGACGAAGGCGAGCACACGCATCGACAGGAGCTTGGTGTCCTTCTCGTTGCTCGGGCTGCTGGCAGATGCGCGCCACGTCAAGATCCCAAGGGGGTTGTCGGACCACTGGTTCGGCATAAAGGTAGCGCTCGCGGTGTCGGCGTCGGAAGATCAAGGCCCTGGCATATGGAGGATGCAGGCAAAGCAGGCACGACGGAGAGGAGTTAAGACGGTAACAGCTAATATCCTTAAAAAACTGGAAAACGAGGAAGGGATGGACTTGGGGAAGAAGCTGAAACTGCTCAGCATGGGCCTGAGAGAATACTCACGGGAGGAGCGAAAGAGGGTGAAGGCGACGGTGCAGCACCTGGAGGAAGTGGTGGAGCGACTGAGGCACAAAGTGATGCGATACCCGGGGGACAAGAGAGCACAAAACAGATTGATGCGGAAGGAGGCGCACCTAGAGGCTTATCTCCAGAGCTGCAAAGATCGGATGCAAGTATTGGCGGGAATCAAGGTGGAGCTCATCGGGGAAGTCCCGTCACCATACTTGTCGGCTAAAATCAAAGTGCGGAAAAAACGGACGGTGGTGCGGGATATTTCTCACCATGGAGTGGTGTATCAGGGGACAAAGGAGGTGCTGAAGGCGGCAGCGGACCATTTCAAAGCTGCTTTCGGCGAGGTGCTACCGGAGGAAGAGGTGGATTGGGGAGCTTTCTCGGAAGGCGCCAGATTCTCAGAAGCGGACGCGGCGCTCCTTGGGGCGGACTGGACGGAGGAGGAGGTCAAGCAGGCGCTGGAGAGCCTCCCGAAGAGGAAGTCTCCCGGGCAGGACGGCTTGCCTGCGGAATATTTCATCCTGCACTGGGATCTGCTGAAGGCATACGTGATGAGTTTTGTCGGGGAGTTCGCTAGGAAGGCGAGAATGCCGGAGAGCTTATCGACGGCTGTGACCGTCCTGCTGCATAAGAAGGGGCCAACAGACCAACTGGGGAACTACCGCCCCATCACACTCCTGTCAGTCATGTACAAGGTGATTACAAAAGTTATGGCTACGAGGCTCAAAAAGGTGCTGGGCAAAGTCCTGTCAAAAGAGCAACACGGCTTCTTACCGGGGAAAAGCCTGGCGGATGCAGTATCGGTGGTAGCGGATGCGGTGGAGGCAGCGAACAGCGGCAGGGAAGACTGGCTACTGCTGCTAGTGGATTTTCAGAAGGCCTACGACACGGTCTCGAGGGTCTTCCTTTTCAGGGTCATGAAGGAGCTGGGGGTGCCTGAAAATTTCATCGGCTGGACCAGGGGCCTGCATGCAGACGCAGGGACAAGGATCATAATTAATGGATGGTTAAGCGACAGGGTGGAGATGAACAGATGTGTCAGGCAGGGGTGCCCACTGGCGCCATACCTGTTTCTTTGCGCACTCGAGCCGTTATGTAGAGCCACACAGCGGGAGAAGCTGGGTATCGGACCGGTCGGGAAGGAGCCGCTTGCATACGTGGGATATGCTGACGATACATCGTTTTTGCTGAGTGGAGAAGCCCAGTTGCGGAAGGTGGTGGATGTGTTTGGACGCCTTCGGGAAACAGTCAGGTTTGAAGGTGAATTGTGAGAAGTCAGTGGTGGTGCCGCTGGGAAGCAACCGGGGGGAGCCGGCGCCGGCAGACATCCCGTATAAATGGTCGGAGCAGGGAGAGCCGGAAAGACTCTTGGGGGTGTGGATAACGCCCAACGGTGACCCGGGTCCATCCTGGAAGAGGGCGTACGAAAGGATAAAAGAGGAGCTGAGGAAATGGGAGGCGCAGTATCTAACGACCACGGCAAGAGTGGCGGTGATTAGCTGCTATGTCCTGCCAGTACTGATGTTCCAAGCCCAAGTCTACTCGCCGCCGGAGGAGACATGGGAAAAAATCAGGAAGCTATGTCATGCGTTCGTATCGGCGGGGGAGGCGGCAGAAGAAAAAAAATTCATTCTGTGGAGCGCGTACCTGGCGTGTCTGCCGCGGAAGGATGGGGGTCTGGGGCAGCTGGACCCGAAGCTTTGCTTGGACGGGCTGGCGGTCCGCAGGGTCGGAAAGCTTCTGAAGGAGCCGGACGGAACGCGCCGATGGCTGGCAGAAAAGGCGGAAGCTTTCCCGCAAGGGCTGGCCACGCTGTACGCACACCCGTCGGCGATAAAGCAGTGGCAGCACGGCAGTGAACGATGGAAGGCGGCGGCAAAGGTGTTCTGGAAATCACCCTTCGCGACGTTACCGGCACCAAGGAGTAGGTGGGAGGTGGAGGAGGAGTTTATTTGTTTCAACAGAAACATCATGCATCGGGTGGAAAGCCCTTTCGTTCACCAGATAGGCACAGCGGCCCTCGTCACCACACGCGTTCGAGACCTGCTCACGGACGGGCCAGGGGGACGGAGGGGGGTGAAGGATGAAGAGGTGCTGACGATTAAACTGGGAAGCAAGGAGGCGGCGGTCATGGCAAGGAAAGCGTATGGGGCCATGCCGCCAGAGTGGAGGAATTTGATCGAGGAGCCGGCAACGGCTGAAGCTGTGGTGAAAGCATCAGGAGTGGTGAGATACATCCTGCATGGACAACCGGCTAGACTCCCATGGGCAGTGGACGGGGTGGACGGCACGAAGGTGGTCGTGTCCAGCATGTCCCTCGGTGAAGACGGAAGAATAGGGAAAAAGGCGAGAGCGGAGAAAACGTGTTTCGTAGCGTGCAGACTCCAACCGATGGCGGTTCAAGAAGGAATACTGCTTGGCCCCGTGGGAGATCCAAAGGTGCGGTTGCTGTCTCTACCAGGACTGTTCGCTGGGGGAGAGTTGGTGCCGCTACGCGGGGTAAGGGTTGCACTATCCAAGGCGAAATGGCGTTCTTGGAGACAAGCGGAGTGGGAAGAAGCGTGGGGCAAAAAGATCGACTGGCGGAAGGTCATTGAGACCAGAGACTCGATAAATGTACCGAGCAAGGCGAGGGACGTCCTACTAAGGGTCCACAGCATGAATCTGCAGGTCGGGGGGAGGCTGGATTTCTTCCAGAACAAGATAGCATGCGCGCACTGTGGAGAGGAAGAAACCCTAGCGCATTGCCTCTACAGTTGCCCGGTCATACAACCGATCATTGGCGCGCTTAAGCGGACGTTGCACATGCTGAACCCGGGCAGGTCGGTGGACTGTCTGGGGGACCTACTGTTTGGCGAAAAGGGCACGGCGTCAGAGTTTCCGGAGATGACGTTGATGTGAAAATTAGAACGAGAATGGTGAACTAGGAAATGAGCTGGGTACAAATATGAAACCCTAGAAAGCTGTACCCCATACTGTCTACCCCACTACAGCCTAGAAAGACTATAGTATATAAGTTCGACACACCCCCATAGGCAAAGTGGGGGAGAACAAGGGGTCACAAGACCAGTCAAGCAAAGCACAACAAGCTCAGGGTGGATCCCAATGTCACCACACATTCTGAGCGCAAGTTCAAGGGCCACAAGGCCAGTTCACATGCAAGCATATATATATAAAGCTAAACATGCAAGTGCAAGTATATATAGGTCACAGTACAAGCAAGGTCAAGAAGTGAGCAAGTGAGGCAAAGTAGGTACAAGACCTAACAGAGTACAGAAGCGCTGATGATCACAAGGCGCGAGTGCCTTGGTGAAGATATCAGCAGTGTTGGCCTGAGAGACCACGTAAGC